TGACAAGGGGAAACCCTACACATGGCAGGAAGTCACCTTGCAATAATCCTGACCACAGCATCCGGGGAAGGCCACCTCTCTGTGAATCTGGCCCTGTGTTTGGGTCGCTGCTGGCTTGAGCCACTGGGTAAGGGGGTATACCTGCCCTGCCTGTGACCTAAATTTTGGGTGTCTGTGTTATACTTCTGTTGCCCACAGCTAGAGGGCTTGGACTTCAAGCCCCGGGGGAAGTATGATGAGCGAAAAGTAGTCAAAACCACTCTGGGGAGGAAAGAGCCCCATGGCTCAGTCAGCATCCCTGCTTGTAAGTGGACCGTCCAAGAATCAGAGGAGAATCCAGGTGCCCGAGAGTTTCTTTGCTAACTAGAGTCCCTTAATTGTTCATACAGAACAAGGCATGACTTTGTTTTTTTGCTACTACTCAGTAACTTATTTTTAAGCAGAACAGGAAAAAAAAAAATCCAATTCCCAGGGCCTGGGCCAGAGCAGAATAACCACCAACAAAACAGCTGTTCACATGGCCGATGCTCATTCCTGTTAACTGTTTTAGTTAAAGGACTGGCAGGAGAGGAATTCTGGCTGGCCCTACAGGGAAACCATTGCGAGGTGGTCCCCGAAGGCAGCGGCCGATGCGATGGAGCGCAGAGCAGAAGCTACCGGGGGCTTGGCCGTCTGAAAGCAGAGCAAGAAGGCGGACCCTCAGCCGAGCCAACCGCCCATATTACATCTAAAGCAGCTCAGGAAGCCAGAGAGGCGTACCAGTTTCTTTAATTAGCAGTTTTCCATTCTCTTAATCCACAAATCCGTGAGCCCAGGTCTCTTCAAAGATGTTAGATGCCGACCAGGCGAACGTGTAAATGCGCCATCTGCAACGTGAGTACGGACTGCTCAGTCCTAGGACTACAGTGACTCCCACAGATTGCAGGAGCTGCGAGCTAGTGGTGACTACGAGCAGCAGTTCGATCCCTTCGATCACAGCGCCGGGCAGCGGCTCCCAGGATCGGCTGGAGGGTCACGCGAGCTTGGGGCTGAAGAGACAGTTATTGGGCCCCTCTGGACCTGTTTCCCCATCTGCTCAGCAGGGGTAATAGTGCTTATCGGGTGTTGGAAAAATGACATGTGATATTACACGCAAAGCATGTGGTACATAGCACTGTACATGGTAAATGCTCAGAGAATGTGAGCTTTCGTCCCAGGTCTGTGAAAGCCCAGGAAGGTGCTGTTTGGTCTCGCCACGTTGTCCTATAAATCTCTACATCTCATGGTCATACCTATGAGAAAGTAACTTTGTGGGGCGCCTGGGTGTCTCAGCCGGTTCAGTGTCCAACTCTTGGTTCCAGCTTAGGTCATGATGTCGGGGGGGTGGGATGGAGCTCCGCATTGGGCTCCATGCTCAGCAGGGAGTGTGCTTGAGGTTCTCTCTCCCTCTCCCCCTGCCCTCCCCCTGCTCGTGTGTGCTCCTTCTCTCTAAAATAAATAAAATCTTTAAAAAAAAGTAACTTTGTAAGTAGGACTTTCAGAAAAGAAAAGCTATTATGAAATGTTATTAGGCTTTAAATAACTGTCAAGTTTTGACTCTCAGCATCCTCAGGCATCCCAGATTTTTGGTTAGGAGTCCGTATGTTACTCAACATTAGAAAGCACTGCTTTATTCCATAGCATTATTTTTATTATTAGCTAGAACCCACTAATTAAACCTTTTCTCAATCTCTTTTTTGAGGACATACAGACTTGCTGTTTTCCCTAGAGCAACATTTGGGAATATGCTGGGCTGGACACACATTTAATGCAATCACCTCCATTTCCTGTCTCTACATCTTCGATTTCAATATCAACAGCTGGGCAAAAGAACAGTGGATCCTGTAAGATTTCCAGAGATTCAAATGTACTGTTTTCTGGGGCAGGGAATGGGCTGATCTGTTATGGGTTTTTCTATCATCTAAGCATTCTATTTTGTTTGTAGAAGGTGGGTACTGGATGACCAGGAGAAAACTGCTCCAAACCTGGAGCTGACTGGAGGCACAGGGCTGGCCAGGCAGGATCAGAAGCAAAAGCAAGGAGAATCCTGACCCTTTCACTAGCTATGACCTCGGGAAAAGCACGTGTCTGAGCTTCAGTTTCATTCATATAATGGGGATGATGGTGCTCACATCATAGGACTGGTTCAGATGAGGGCAACACACAAATGAGAAACCCCACTAACCAGGCTGCTTCAGCCAGAGGGGCGCTCACTCCTCTACCACCTGCTGGGTACACGCCTGTCTGAGCATTGCCCCACTCTTTCTTACTCCAGCTCGCGAAGGCTTCTGCCTTGTCCTCAGCACCCTTCTATGCTCCCCATGTCCATGACACCGGGACACATTTCCTAGCATTCCAAGCACTGTGAAGAAACCATCCTTCTTCCTCCCACCCAGGGACTGAGGAACGGGCCATACATCACACCCCAATAACTTTCCATGAAACAGAATTGAAGTTAGTTTAAAAACGGATTAGTGGGGCAGTGGGCCTGGTGGGGTGGCGGGGGGGATGAACAGGTGGAACACAGAAGAATTTGTGTGGTACCAATGGCATGGGGGACACAAGCCATTATACACTGGCCCAATCCCAGAGAATGCACAAGAGTGAACCCTTGTATAAACCACGGACTTTGGGTGACAATGATGTGTCAGCGTAGGTTGTAGTCAGCACTTTAACAAATGTACCCTCTCGGGGGGGTGGTGTTGATAGCAGGGAGGTTATGCAGGTGGGGGGACAGGGGTAATGGGAAATCTCTGTACCCTCTCTATCTTTTTTTAAAAAGATTTATTTATTTCAGAGGAGGGGGGAGGGACAGAGGAAGAGAGGGAGAGAATCTCCAGCAGACTCGCCACTAAGCACGGAGCCCAAGGCAGGGTGTGATCTCATGACCCTGAGATTATGACCTGAGCAGAAATCAAGAGTAGGATGCTTAACCAACTGAGCCACCCAGACGCCCTGGATATCTCTGTACCTTCTGATCAAGTTTGCTGTGAACCTTAAACTGTTGTAAAAAATAAAGCCCATTAAAAAATTGATTTTACACACACTCTTCTACTGAGATGCGCTGACAAATACGACAATTTAAGAAACCTAACTCTTTATTTAACATCAAAGCTAACATCAAACGTTTATTTAAAAAAATAATGGCACCAGCTTTGAAGACGGTGACAATCTACAGAGAATTTACAATTGTAGGCTGACGTGGAACTACATAGTATCTCACAAAATGGAAATTCTGCAAAAGACCTCACAATGAACATTTCTAGTTTCCATTTTCAGAACTGCCAACTACTGCCTAAACATATCTTAAACACAGAGCACGTTCTGTTGAAATATTTCTCTTAGGACAAAGACAGGAGACACGTTTTAAATAAATTAAAATTGCAACATATACATTATTCCTAAAACAATCAAGGTACATTACTTTCCAGCTTCTTATAAACAGAGAATTGCACGGACTTTAGAAAATTATAGGTTAGATCTGCTTTGTATCTTCTGGGTTACCAAACTCGTGTTAACTGTACCTTTTAGTTTCTTAACCACTTTTGATGTAAATAGGCCAATATCATTCTTTTCGGTGATTTATCTCTTTAGACCAACTCCTTCCTTAGCACATGGGCTAAACTTTTTGAAACACCTCTCTCCAGATAAAGCTCTGAATTTTAAATAATGCCATTTCGCTCTTCCCCTGGCTCACTCCTCAAAATTATAGAAATATGCAAAATAGGTTGTTTAATTACACATGTTCATATTAACAAGCATCTTGAAATGCTTTTCCAAACCAATACAACTATACTTAGATTCAACACAAAGATGTTCCTGTTTGATGCAAAACATTCTGGTATTTAAAATCCAACCCAAAAGGACACAAATAATCAGGTGCCTGAGGGAATCCAATTCCCGTCACTGTTACCGATCCCATAATTAAACCTGATATGTTGGAGAAATAGCAGGGCAATCAACATACCTAGCAGGGCAATATTTCAATGAAAACAAGAGTGACACAGCAGAAGGGCTGAGGTCCCATGGATGCTAACTGACGGAAAGGGATGACTGCATTATGGGAGAAGGGGCGGGGAGTTTCCGAAAATCTCAGTCTATCAATAGTTCATCGTGATCACAGAAGCAAAACCACTAATGGTACATGCTAGAAACTTGGGACTGATCCTACTCTCCATACAAAACCAGCAGTGGAGGACTTTTATTTACTGCTTCATTGTGGTTTGAATTTGGGGGGTGGGGATGGGTAGGATGTTTTGTTCTGGCTTCATCATACTCAAAACGTAAGCTGCAATAACTAACTTAAAGCCCACAGAAGAGTATTTTTGGGTTTTTGTTTTGTCCCCAGCAAACTATCATTATCTTGGTGATCATGAAAATAGTATGTCACAAAAAAATCCTGTGCTAGAATGCAACGTCCAGTTTGCTAAGTGAGCAGGTGCCTGCCCATCTCACAAGTGACTGTGTCTTCAGGTATGTACAAAATGTTTCCTACCGATGAAAGGTGGGGAAAAAGGATTCGTTGACTTAAATATAAACAATTCCAGGATATGTCCTAGCTGGATCACAATTTTTTAATTGAATAATTTATAAAATTGGATTTAATCCCCTTACACAGGAAAGAAAACACGTAATGGGAAGGTTTATTCCTTAAGAAGAGAACAGTAAACTACAGAGAGTAAAGGTCTCCTTGGAGTATATCAGCTTATTAAAAAGCTTCATGAACTTTCAAGAAGACTCTAAAATAAGTATGCCATGTAGGTTGAGCACATCCAAGTGAAAATAAGGTTATTTGACATCTAATGAGAATCACTGGAAATACAAATTCTGTGCAAAGAAGTAATGATCAGGTGGGATGATTTAGACCCTGGAATATTTCAGAACAGAGCCAGTTTCTAGCAGCTTCTGTTAACAGCTCCAGACTGGAGGGGTTGGCGTGTGCTGTTTTCCATTTTCTTCCCTCCTCTCAGTGGGGAGCAGGCCTGGGAAGCGTCAAAGCCAAGGCTGAGTGGAGCGTGGTGGCCTGTGGGTTAGACTTCTCACTCACTCTCTCTAAACTAACAGCAGCAGCTACGTCACCGCAACCCCTGGCATCTCCAAAGTGCCTCAGAAAGATTCACAGACATCGAGAGGCGCCCACCAGGATCCAACTTGACCCAAGGGAAGTTACATCCAGCCCTCGGCCAAATGGAGCCTGATGCCCACAGGTAAAGGGAATATAGAAGCAAAAGGAAGCACACCATTCTCTCTCCTTCTCTTCCCTGATCTGGAACTCTTTTCTGTCCCCTGTATGTGATGGATCACAGTGTATTTACAGCCAACTGGGCAGAACAAGGGAGAGTCTGACAGCGGAAGGGGACACAGCCACGAGATGGGGGTGGGGCTGGTAGCTCCTTCGTCCCTGAATCCAAAATCCGTACGGGCAAAGATGTCACGTAATGATGCTTACCATTTTATAAAGCTCGAGTCTGGAATTAGATAGTGGGCATAGTTGCATAAGTTTGTGAATTTACTAAGAACACTGAACTGTAAAGTTAAAAAAAGAAGAAGAAAGCTTGAGTTGTCTGAGTCTCACACACACTGGACTTGTACCAAATGCTTGACTATTCCATTCTCTCAAACCATGGCACACTGTCACATTTTTTCAGGAGGTTTCCCTAAGAGCAGCTGTTCGCAAAATATTGCACTTAATTTAAATCCAGGCAATTCGATGTTTTCTGGAAGAAAATGTACACTAACATACATCTTTACGCCTTCAGATAACAGAGCGGATGGTGGGAGGAAGGACCGAACAGCAGTTTCCATTAAAATCTTCTATCTTCGTCTTCGTTAGGTACAGAGAGAAAAAGATTTAAAGGGAAGTATCGTCTGAGAGAAAAAGATTTAAAGGGAAATATCATCTGGGTTGGGAGTAGTGAGCGCATTGCCCCAACAGGCAGAAGCTGTTCACCTTTGAAGGGTTTCACCTCAGGGGAAGAAGCGTGGCCACTCCATTCCCGTGGCACTTCAGTGAGATCCTAAGAGACAATGGACAACCAGACACCAGGTCTAATTTATCGGATTGCGGCTGGTCTTAACGGGGTCCTCAGAGGACCCTCTCAGTCTTCATCCGACTGCCACCCCCTTAGACCACATGCCCTGTCTTCCTCCTGCTTCCAGTGCCCCTACCTCAGTGGACTTTCACCTCACACAGTACAATTCTGTTGTCCTTCTTAAAGAAAAAAAAAAAACCCACAGCATGAGCATCATTTGTTTTCACATGTGCAGTTAAGCTTTACAATCCCTCCCAAGACCATGAATAAAGTAAATCACATCCTCACAGGGGGTTTATCACAATTAAGATTTGCTGCAATGCAAACCTCCAGAGTGGTGCTTACGGGAGCCTACACTCATGTTTGAGCCATAGTTTGACATGGGATTTGGAAGCATTTCGACGTGCCTGAAGGTGAGGCGTTCGAGAGCCACTTAAGATAGAATCGGACATGTGGCTCCCTGGGTGTGAGAAGGCAAAAGCCTCACTCATAGATCTTCCTGTCTTACCATTTAAAGTGCAAGAGAACATCTAAGTTAGACTTCTATGGATAAACAGGTGTGCTGTAAGATTTCCACGTTATGGCGAGTCCCACACAATGGACCACCGTACACAAGGGGACACATGGGACCTAGTAGTGTCCTGTGTGGACCAGCGGAATGGGTTACACAGGATTTACTGTACTTCCATAGGCCCCAAGTGTCCACCGTGGCCAACAGCTGCATTTCGTCCCTTGCCCAAGTCCTGCCACATCCTTGCTGCATACAGGACTCAGGCAAAATGCCGCCACCAGCCACTGTGAAGTTCAATTTTGATGGAAACTTAAGGGAGACAGAGACTTAACACCCTGTTTCGTGTGGGTCATTAATTACGCCAAACGCTCGATGACCAGAGGTTTACCAGGCTGGGCTAGTCAGGTGGGCAGGAAATCTGGTCTGATTAAGGCAGTGAGCAACGTGGGGCGAGCTCTGCAACAGGTCCACACTCACCGGGTACAGGGGCGGACCTGGCAGCTACCACGGCGTGAGGGGACAGAGATATTTACAACGCACAGCCCAGGCCTGGTCGGCTCGAGTCAGCACAAGTGTTCGCTTTAAAATTTGGTAGTATGCACAGAGTTGTCTTTAACACAGAAACGTGAAAGAACGTGAAGACAAGAGCCGGTGGCTTCATCTGGGTATTATGATCCTTTCTATGGCACACACGATATGGTCCCAGTTTTTACAAAATATTGCAAGAAGCGTCACAGCGAAGAAGGTGCCAAGGATGTGGAGGCGGCTCCTCATCATGGGCGAGACAAACTTGGCGATGGTAGACACGCACACGAGAACGACTGTCATGAAGGCCAGGATCACGTTGATGCACTTCCCCAGGAGGACCTTGGCGTTCACGGCGTCTGTCTGCAGAGCCTGCTGCTCTTGCTGGTGCAGCTCCAGCTTAGAGACGCGCGTCTGGCAGGACTCCAGGGCTTCCTGGGGGCAAGAGGGACAGCGAGGGTCAGACGCTGCGGAGACCAGGGGCAACATGTGAGCGCGTGCTTAGACATGCGTGAAGGCCCCCAGCTCAGGATGCTCGATGCCAAGGCAGCTGCCAACAGCCAAGCGGACAGTGATGATGATGAGGATGATGATGATGATGATGACAAACAAGTAAAACGAGAATCCCCAGGCTCATTTATTCTGTTGTTCTTGACAGAATGGGCATGTGTATGCAACCATAAACTACCATCAACGGGGGCTTACAGCTAAGTGTGTTGAGCCTATTTGTATTTGAAATAAAGTACATAAAATATTGGCATGGTATCCTTGGGGACAAACGAGAGGAGTGGTGGGGTTCCATTTTGGGACAGTGGACGACCTCCGGCCGCACAGCAGGTGGTGTCTCCAACTGCTAGTCCTTATTTCCACTGCTCAGACTGCGTGTGCAGCCACTTACAGACTCTGGAGGACGAAGGGAGAAGGGATGGGGACAGGACAGACGGTGGGCAACTCTGCTTTCATCTGCTCTGCGAATGCACTGTCCAAGGCTACACATTCTCCCTAGTTCTCATTCTTTCTTAACACTTCAATTACTAAGTCACAGCTGACTCCAAGTATCTCTCTGGCCCAGTCGTCTCTTGTGAGATTGACTCACATATCTACATGCCTCCTTGATATTCCATTTGAGAGAGAGAGTGAACGAGAGAGAGAGAGAGAGCGAGCGAGCGAGCATGCATGGGCGGGGGGAGGGGGCGGGGAGCGGAGGGAGAGGGAGAAGCAGGCTTCCCGCCGAGCAGGGAGCCCGATGCGGGGCTCGATCCCAGGACCCTGGGATCATGACCTGAGCCCAAGGCAGACGCTTAACTGAGCCACCCAGGCGCCCCTCTCCATCTGAGCTTTTTTATTTTTTAAAGATTTTATTTATTTATTTGAGAGAGAGAATGAGATAGAGAGAGAAAGCATGAGAGGGGGGAGGGTCAGAGGGAGAAGCAGACTCCCTACTGAGCAGGGAGCCCGATGCGGGACTCGATCCTGGGACTCCAGGATCATGACCTGAGCCGAAGACAGTCATTTAACCAACTGAGCCACCCAGGCATCCCCGACCATCTGAGCTTCTTAAAAGCACCTCAAACGCAGCACGGGCAAACGTGGCTTCGTGTCCTGCACCTTCTCCTGTACCTGCCATCAGCGCTGTTCCCCTTCTGGTGTTCCTTTCCTCAGAAAACAGCACCTGACCCGCCTGGTTCCTCCTACCAGACACCGCTCTCCTCTAATCTGTCACCCAAGCCCATCGATGCACAGCCGGTATCTGCCTTCTGGTCCGTTTCTCTCCCCTCAGTCTCCCTACTCTCTCCTGCCTCACGTAATGCCAGCCCCCTGCCCCGCTCACCATGCTCTGGCCAGACAGGCTTTTTCAAGTTCGAAAAAGAATCGTGTTGGGGGCCTTGGTACTGTGCCTGAAATGTCTGCCTCCCCACTCCCTCCCCTCTTCACCGGTGGATGTCCCTCCCCTTTCAGGTCCCACCTCCTCCACTGTCCTGTCCCGAGAGCAGCCCTCCCGGCCCCATCAGAGGCGGTGAAGTGTCCCCTGACCGACAGCCCACAGCTGCGGGAGGACAGGGTGGCCATCAGCCAGGTGCAGGCTGCGTGCCAGGAAGGACCCACTGTGTCTCGGGAGAAACGGACCCGACGAGAGGCAATACGGGGAGCCCCTCGGAGCTCTCTGGCCTACCGTCGGACTCATTTACCAAGACGTGTTTGCTCCATTACAGCACCGCTGTCTTCTCAGGTTGGAAAGAACCCTAAGAGCTGGGACACTGGTTTGCTTTTCTTCTGCTGACTACACTCTGTGCCAAAGATCAGCGTTCTCTGTCACCACAGTGACTTCCATTACATGGGTCAGCAACAGAGGAGGCAAAACTTCCTCAGATCTTCACATCCGAAGCGGGGCTAGCTCTCTAGGATAGGCACGTGCCCCGGAAACCCTGCATTCTTTTCAACTGCTCGAGCCCAACGTGTCCTCCATTTTAGACACGCCACGGAGAAGGTGACAGGCGAGACAGGAGATCAACATTTTAGCAAGCTCATCCATCTTTAGTTGGGTACACAAATTACATATATAAATAGGCTGATCTAAGAATTGAATCACCTTAGAACTGCTATTCGTTTTTTATCAAAAAAAAAAAAAAAAAGAAAAATCCAAGAAAATTTAGTGAACTGCAAGGAATTTTAGTTACAGCCCCCGCTAAGAGAGATGCGGCCCCACGATCTTTAGTACTTCCTCGGATCCAGTATGTCACATACGGGGGATAAGGATGGATGACAGACTGAATTACCCTTAAGCCTTTTTTAATTGGGAATTCAAGGGTGATAAAAAACAAAACTCGATTTCTTAACACAGAAAAACCCTGGTGTCCCAGTGGCAAGAGGCACCCTCACCCAGGCCGGCTCGTGCGCTGTGGAGCCCTGCCCGTGAGAACAGAACACCGAGAACGAACGAGGAAGCTGAGCGGGCCCGACCGCCAAGAGCCCCGAGGAACATGGCTTCTCCCCAGTATAAGAATTCTCTTCTGGCTGCCTATTATCAGGCAAAGATTTAAGGACTTTCTGTGTATTATCCCATCTAATCCTCCTGACAACCTTTCGAGGTGAAGCTCATTGCTATTTCCATTTTACACACTGAGGCAAAGGGAAACTGAGGCAGAGGGAGCCAGCTTGTCCAGGGTCACACCGTAAGTGCAGAGCCAGGATTCTCACTTCCTTTTTTTTTTTTTTTGAGATTTTATTTCTTTATTTGACAGTGAGAGAGAGAGAGAGATCACAAGTAGGCAGGCAGAGGGAGAGGGAGAAGCAGGCTCCCCACTGAGCAGGGAGCCCGATGTGGGGCTCGATCCCAGGACCCTGGATCATGACCTGAGCCGAAGGCAGACGCATAACCGACTGAGCCACCCAGGTGCCCCAGGGTTCTCACTGTCTTAACAAAGACGACTGTCAAGTTGCTCACACAGATGTCCTCCTTGCCCTTCTGAGTTAGAGATGAAACCCGAAAAAAGTTCAAATGAACTCTTCTAAATCGTGAAGCCCCCTCTGTGACGTCCCTCCCTTTATCCTTCCCGTGCATCCCTAAAGCAGGTTCCCTTAAAAAAGAACAATATTAACCCAAACTTTCCCCTAAATAAGAAAACCACATATTTAGACATAATCCAGTGGCATCCCAGACATGTTCTAAAAACAGAATGTTCTAATAAAACCGACTGCACTGTTCACCTTGCAACACTTAACATTTAAATGGGTCACACTCCTTCAACCGGTCCATGGTGAAGGAGAGTGTCCTAACCCAGAACAGGGGCAAAATCTCCACCACGCTCCTCAGAGGCCAGTGTCTGCCACCAGCTCTGTCGGACGCTCCGGCTCCCAGAACCGTCCAAGTAGATGCCTGGGATTGGCACAGACTCACAGCCCACGACACAGAGTAGAACAGAACGTGGGCAGCTGAGACTCCAGCTCACACACTGCGGGGGGGAGGGAATTTCCCTTTATGTTTCAGTGTTCTCCCTCGCAGAGTGGAGAAAATAACCACTGCCTACAAAGGAAAGTTGTAAAAACGGAGCTGAGCGCTATGTGGAGAGTATACTTTTTTGCTTTTTTTAAAAAAGGATCAATGGGATGTAAATTGCGGCCGTCGCTATGGAAAACATCACGGAAGTTCTTTAAAAAATTAAAAATAGAACTGCTGTACGATTCAGCAATTCCACTTTTGAGTATATACCCGAAGAAAATGGAGTCAGTTCCTAGAAGAGAGATCCCCACCCCCATGTTCACTGCATTACTGACAACAGGGAAGACACGGAAACAACCCAAGAGTCCATCAACAGATGAATAAAGAAAATGTGGTATCCATACACACAACACACCATGGAATATTATGCGGCCATGAGAAAGAAGGCAATGCTGTCGTGTGCGACAACATGGATGGACCTTGAGGGCAGGTGCTGAGTGCGATGAGTCAGACAGAGGAAGACAAACAGGCTCTGTGATCTCACTTATATGTGGAATCTAACAAAACCAAACTCACAGAAACAGATGGGTGATTGCCGAGCGTGGGGGGGGGGGGGGCGCGCGGTGACAGGGGAGGGGAAATCGGGGAAAGTGGCAAAAGGTACAGACTTGTAGTTATAAGACAATGTAATGTGCAGCATGGTGACTAGCTAACCTTTCTGTCTTACATATTTGACAGCTGCCAGGAGAGTAGGTCTTAAAAGTTCTCATCGCAAGAAAAAAATGAGTTAACCACGTGAGGTGACGGCTGTTAAATAGACTAACTGTGGTGATCACTGTGCACTATATATATTATATGCATCAAATCATTATGTTGTAACACTTTAATGCAAAGGGATACGTCAATCATAGCTCAGTAAAGCTGGAAGAAAAGAAAGAAACCCTCTGGTAGCAGGAAAAAAAAAAGCATTCCAGAAGCCTAGGTTGTTTCGCTACCGTGCTACCATCATATTAATACTGAAACGTGCCTTCATTTTTTTTTTTAAAGATTTTATTTATCTGAGAGAGAGAATGAGAGAGAGAGAGCACATGAGAGTGGGGGAGGGTCAGAGGGAGAAGCAGACTCCCCGCCGAGCAGGGAGCCCGATGTGGGACTCGATCCCGGGTCTCCAGGATCATGACCTGAGCCGAAGGCAGTCGCTCAACCACCTGAGCCACCCAGGCGCCTGAAACGTGCCTTCGTTTATAGTGACGCAGCAAGCCCTTCCGTCCCTCCATCCAGATCCGACCAGCCCTGCAAGTCCCACTCTCTCGGGACATTCTTTCACACTCCTTACTCAAGGACTGTTGGCAAGACCTCGGTCCACGTCACTGAACCTCTCTGCCTTAGTCTCCACATCTGAGGAATGGGGAAAACAGTAGAATTGCTTGAAAGCAATTGTTGTTGTGAGGAGTAGATGGGGAGGGAAAAGGCATGTATAGTGTTCGGCTAGCATATGGCGCATGGTATGCACTCAAGTCCTTGAAATTCTTACAGCTATCAAATCTACTCTCGTGCAGATGAGTAAACAGATTGAAGGCTTGCTCAGGGTTACCCAACTGGTAAATGCCAGCCTTGAGACTGAAATGCAAGATTTCACCACAGAACGACCGACTGCCCCACCAGTTCCTAGCTTGTTGGCCACTGTGTGTCTGAATCCTGTGGCTTTCACCGTCTGCACCATGGCACTTGGCCCCTGCTCATGTTTTCTTGAGCTGCTTGGCAGCTGACCTAATCCTGACTTCCCCCCACCCCCACTCAAGTAAGCTTCTTGAAGGCAAGGTCTGCCTCATGTTTAGAAAGTTTTAGCAGTTTTGGTGGGGGGGGGGGGGGGAGGAGAGGTTATAGGCAATGGTCTTGGGTAGATAATAAATATTTGTTAACCCAAAAAGGTACACAGAGAATAGCCTCTTTACTCAGTGACACTTCTGACATGAGCTAATGGGGCTAATAAGGTGGAAGATGATGGTGCAGAGAAACCATTTTGCTCCCCGTGCCAGAAATCCTTTAGGGCTTACGGGTAATGCGTTTACAGTTTGTTATATGAATCTGAGGCTGGGACGAGCCCGCGTGAGCGTGTAGTGACGAGAGGAATGGTACCTGAATGTCCCGTGAGCGCTCGTAGGCCTGGTAAGCCACCTTCTCCTCGATGCTGGCAAGGCCCTGCTTCAGGTTGGCGGTCTCGTGCTGATGCAGGTCTGTCAGGTCATGGAGCTGGTCTTCCAGGTGCTCATACCTTTGCAAAGAGAGGAGCTGATTCTGAGTGTGACACTCCAAATGCCTCCTTGTTCTCAGTCCCTGAAAGACTATGTTTCCGAAAGAATACGTCTAGGGGTGCCAGGGTGGCTCAGTCGTCAAGCGTCTGCCTTCGGCTCGGGTCATGGTCCCGGGGTCCTGGGATCGAGCCCTGCATCGGGCTCCCTGCTTGGCGAGCCTGCTTCTCCCTCACCCTCTCCCTCTGCCTCCTGCCCCCATGCTGTGCTCTCTGTCAAACAAATAAATAAAATTAAAAAAAAAAGACTACGTCTAGCTGTGGGGAACACGCTTTTGGAGAACACTGAATTCCAGCTCTAGGAAGGTGGTCTCTGCCATCTTAACTTCTCTGTCCTCACTCCTGAGGTGACACGCACGCCAAATTCGGCATTTCCACCCACATCGGACAAGCACCTTCACTGGTTGCAGTTGATGACAGAACAGACCTGACATGTTCACCAAGGCTGGTCAAGAGACAGGGCTGCCTGGCACCCCAGGGCTCCCCCCTCTCCTGCCTGCACAGAGCCTTCTGGTTCACGGGCACGGCTCTCACACACCAGAGCCCACGAGGAAAGAACCAACTTCTCTACTAGAGCCAATTCCACCATTTCCCAATGTAACCTCTAATTCTGAAAACATGTTTCAGTTCTTGGAACTTAAGTGCCGATGAAAAATTAAGCTCATTACAAATTATAAATAGCTTATCGGGTGGCATTTCCAGAAGTCCAAATCTTAAGTAACAGAAGAACAAAGATTTCCATTCCCACCTCCCATTTTCCTCACAGAAGAGGGACTGGTCTTATTATATTCAAAAACTTATAATGTTTATTTGAAAACAGGAAGCACTGTTTGGGGAATGCCTTAGTCTGAAATGACTTCTCTCAATGTCAGCGTTAGGGGCTAACAGAGGTCACCTGATAGAGTCATCAAAGGGCGAGAGAGAGAAAGAGGGAAGGAGGGAGGGAGAGAGATTGTGAGATCATATGTCAATTATACCTCAGGAAAAAAAGTAAGACCAAAAAAATTTAATGCAGATTTAATGATTATTCTCAGCTAGGACTTCATAGGTATCCAATGTTGGTGTAAAAGCCTTTTAAAGATCTCTTAGAGCAAGCAATACAGTGGCTAACTCCGAAAGATCACAAACATAGCTATATGACAAACAAGAATAAAAACTGTCCTACATTTATGTAAATGGTTATTTGTGACAGGATAAAATTTGGATCCAAAGAGTACTGTATGCCAAACTCTTCAGATGGAATTAAAGTCAATATTCTCTGGAAAACTTGTGACTCAATAATAGTTATGTGACAAAGAAACCAGAGTCAAAGATGTATGCTGAAAGTTTTAAAAAACTGCTGAATAAAACATAAGAGCTGGAAAAAAAAGCCACATTTCTAAATTAATACCATCTAGGAGATATAAAATGTGTAAGTAAAATTTAAAGTTTAATCTTACAATATGTAATGGGCATTGAATTTTTTTAATCTACATTTTTACAAGTTAACATATTCATTTTGTCCAAAAAAAAGAAATTAACTTTTGGGGGCACCTGGCTGGCTTGGTCAGTGGAATGTACGACTCTTGATCTCAAGAGTTGTGGGTTCAAGCCTCACGTTGGTGTAGAGATAACTTAAAAAAGAAAGAAAGTCTTAAAAAAAACTTTGGGGAATCTTTTCACTGGGGAAATGGTGGAAAATCACTTTTTATTAATATTTTTATTAATAAGTTAGAAGCACACAGAAGCCAGCCTACAAAATACCTTTTAAAATCGGCTAATATAATTCTCAAGATTTGAATTTACATTCTACTCTGAGTATTTCTTTTGAAGACTCTTCATTTAAGGAGAAAAGTTCAATGTGCAAAATATAGTATATAAAAAAATGTGTACTACATGAAGACTTTAAGATTGATGTAGCAAAGAAAATCGACCTTGTTGAACAATGCAGTGGGGTTTTTTACTTGACAGTTACTACAGAGGAAAATAAAATACAGATCTGTGAATTAGTGTAATGAAACTGCATCCCAGAAGTCTACTGAGTCAGGAGCTCAGCGTGCACGAATCATAGACCACACAGTGACATTTTAAAAGATTCACACAACTTTCTCTAAAGCGTCAAACTATAAGTCACGAGTTATAAAGCTTAGCACCATGAGGTAGGATAAAAACTACTGATTCTTAACTTTTTTGATCCATATCCACATTCGTGGAAAATGCAACCATCAGTATATCACTTTCAAGAAGGCAATCTGGCCGCAGTAAGTCATGCTTCTGAAAGAACCGCAAGAGAATAAGCTGAAATACCTGTATCTTTCCTCTTGCAGCGTCTGAGAAATAAAACCGTATTCTCTCTTGAACTGCACTTTGAGCGCTTCGATGTCCTCAGCCAGCTGAGCCTGCGTGTCCTTGATCTCCCTCAGCTCCTCCAGGACCATGGTCAGCTTGCCCTGGCTGTCCAGCGCGCCGGCTCCACTGGCCCCGAAGGACTGGTTCCCGTTACTGTCCGCGGAGCCCGACGTGCCGCTTGAACACTCGTCGTCGCTGCCGTACTTGGGTTTGTGCACGATGGTGGCGCTGCCCCCGTAGGCCCGGGGACTCCCCTCGGGCCGAAACTCCTCCAAGGAGTTCTTCAAGTGCGCGATGTTGTCGGCGCTGCCGAACTTATTCCGGATCAGGTTGGCGAACTCTCTGGACTTGTTGAAGACGAACACGGGCGGAGTGAGGGACACGCCTGGCATGCCTGACTTCCCGCACTCCGGGCCGGGGGGAGCAGTTCGAGACTTCGCGGAGGCATCTCTCAGAGAGTGGAGGTTGTCTTTGGAAATGTCCTTGGAGCTTCTGGAGGCTCCGTTCTGCTCGAGCTCCCTGAGCTTTCTGTGATACTGCTCTAACTTCTTCTGGAGCTGGGCGATGGAGTGAGCGGACTTCTGATTCTTCTTCTCGAAGACCTGTTTGATGCGGCCGGCCTGCTGCTTATCCGCACTGCTGACCAGTTTCAGATACTCCGCAACATTCCCATCGCGGGACGTCTGCTCAATTTTTATCTGCTCTGTCACCTTCAGGATTTTTTGTTTCAGGCTATCTGCACTGAGTTTGACCTTGTGGAAGTCCAGGATGCCATCTGGTACATCAAAGTTGAGGTTGGTGTCTGACCCCCCTCGGCGAATGTTCGGGGGCAGGCTTAAGGTATTCATGTCATGACGTTCTACCTGCAAGAGACAGGGAAGAAGCACTTTAAGGTTGGAAGTCAAAGGCATAGTTTTTGTGAGAGAATCTGTGCACACACAACAGACATACTTCAGGTCCCAGATTTTTAAACTGCAAGTATTCAGGGGCACCTGGGGGGCTCAGGCGGTTGAACGTCGGCCTCTTGGTTTCGGCTTGGGTCATGATCTCAGGGTCATGAGATCAAGCCCTATGTGGGCCCCGCAATCAACAGGGAGTCTGCTTGAGATTTTCTCTCCCTCTCCCCACTTGTGTGTGCGCGCACTCTCTCTCTCAAATAAATACATAAATCTTTAAACTGCAAGTATTCATGAGATAAAAACTCCCTATACTATCCTCCCCAGTTGAATAGAAGGCAGTCTAACTCCGTCCTGCATCCATGTGTACTAACTGTGAGATGCTGGTCTCCCAGGGTGTCCGATGCTTTGTCTGATTAGATGACAACTGCCAGTTGCCAGGGTAGAAAATGCATAATGGCACGAGGTTACCAATCAGTGCTAGTTTCCCAAAATGCCCAGGTAACTGGGGGGTCTGCCACGCCCCATTCACTGTGAACTGCAGCACTGTGGGAAATGCGCCCAATTCAGAACCCAATCATGTAACAGAAGAATGAGAAAATAGTTTCAGCAGGTACATTCATCAACACAAGAAATTATTTTCTTTTTAATGGAATCATTAAACAGATGTGATAGGAGATTAATTTTACTGAGTAATACAACTGTATTTAGATGTGGAAATGAATAACCCCCCAACCACAACTGAAGTGATTTAAAAACAAGGACAAGTGGTAATACGAAGTGAAGTGGCTTTCTCACTGAAGTGCCACCACCTGGGGAAGAAGTGCAAAGTATCACTGAGCACCGTGGCGAGGAGCGTTAACTAGTTTGTACTCCAAAAGGGAAAGGCAAAGGTAGTCTGGGCGCTAGGTACTATGGATGTTTGTATGTGTCATCCTGTTCAATCCTCACTACCGTGCCAGGTAGAGACTACATTAAACCCATGTACGTACAAACTGAGATGGCAAGAGGCAGGATTTGAACCCAAGTCACCCTAACTGGGTTCTCTTTCTACGTCAGGACACCCTATCAAGATGTCCCCAAAGGACTAAAGACAAGCCTTTGTAGGGTCTGAATGCAATCTCTAAACAAAGGTTCATAACATCTCAACCAAAGCAGCTTACTTGTCAAGTTAACTGCCCTTTGATTAAAATAATGCCTTGACACAGAGTCTCACCGGAGACCAAACAGGAGACAATATTAGGCACAAGTTATCTTGAGTTTCAGGGAAGAGTAGGCAGAAACGGCAAAATATTAATAAGATACTAACACATCTTCCCCTGCCCAAGTGACCCAGACTTGAATGCATTCATTTCCAACAATGAAGTATTAACACTTTGTCCCACGAAAAATCCTACCCGGTGCTTTTTCCCAGAGAAAGGAGCCCAGTGGCATGGTGGGACACAATCCCAGGTTGGTGAGTCAGTCCTCCTACACAACTCACAAAAGTCTGTTAACATTATTTCTTGGCCCCTCTCCTCCAACACACAATTTTGCTACAAATAAGAAACACTGGGTGTTTTTATCTGGCAGAAGAGCATCACGTAGGAAAGGCTGGAAGGAAATAAATACCAAATCACTTGTAAGACTAGAAAAAAGGATAAAAAAATTGTGATGTCACCTGGTCAAAATGGAAGGATGGGTGTAGGGAATAAAGAAAGTATAGGATCATCATCTTCAAGTCCCAGAGAGATGACCATGGGGAGCTCAAGGAAACTAGGTACATGGCTCGCTAGTGAACCCAAACAGGAATGGGTTCAAACACAGTAACACAGAATGCACAAAATCTAGAAAATGATTATTTGGGGCACATAGGGCAATCTGTGGTAACTGTACAATCAAGAAGCTACAAATGTGATTTCACTGGAGATATTCACTGATCTAATTACGCTATTCTACTTCTCAGAAACTTTCTTCGGCTCCCCAGAGCCTCCCAAATTAAATAATACAACCCGGCCACTATAAGGCCTCGCTTACCTGTCAGGCCTAATGGATGCCATTCATCTTAAGTGAACCATACAACCCAAAGTTCCCAGGATGTATGTGAATTATCTATGGATTTTCTCATATGAAGGGTGCCTACCACCCATCCACTTCTGCTTATCAAAATCTCACATATTCTGGAAGAGCCTCTTAAAATCCCACTTATGCCACGAAGCTGTTTCCAGTCCATCAGAAAGCTGCCTATTCTTTCTGTGACCTTCCATGTTGCTTTTGTGGCACCACCTGAAGCATCCTGTATCCCTCATCCGTGGATTCGATCCCCCACAGAGTACAGGCTCCTTCAGGTGAGAGACGTGCCATACCATACCCAGTTTGTAGTGTTAGTTCTGTCCCTATTCACACGAGGCTGTCGATAATGTTTGCTGAACTCAAATGACATCATTCTTTATTCTAGGAGAGTCACACTGAAATCACTTAAGATATATTTTAATAGAATCAAGAAAATGACCTTGGACGTTCTGCCCATATGGACCTGGTAATTTCAGGCAGAGCTGTTTTCCCAATAGCTGGGTAATAAGTTCTATATCATTTCACACTGTTTCAACTAAACGGAGATTTTTCTGAGGATCAGTGTGCAACGAGATAACACAGACTTTTAAACTTTAACTGAAGTATAATTTACACACAGAAAAGAGCACACATAAGAAGAATAAAGCTCAATGAACTTTCACAAACTGGATATACTGTATAACCAGGACCCAGTAAAACAAAACAAACAAACAAAAACAAAGGGGCGCCTGGGTGGCTCAGTCAGTCAAGCCTCTGGCTCTTGATTTCAGCTCAGGTCGGGATCTCAGGCTTGTGAGATCCAGCCCCGAGTTAGGCTCTGTGCTGGGCACGGAGCCTGCTTAAGATTCTCTCTCTCTCCCTCTCCCTCAGCCCTTCTCCCTCCCTCCCTCCCTAAAAAACAAACAAAAAAACCAACCCAATAAAACAAAACTGAAGCTCCCCGTACCCCCTTCAATCATAAGTACCTCACCCCCATCTCCGGGGGTAACCACGAGCCTCACCTCTAACAGCATGCCACTCACTCTTCTTGTCTTTTTTGCTCCACTTTGTCTATGAGAGTCCGAAGACCTTGTTTTTACCCTCTGGAGCTCAAAGATCAGATTAAGTTATTTTAAGAAAAAACACCCAAACCTGCTTGGTACTGAGAAGTCCACCGTGTTGGAAGATGCAGAGGCTTTTACACTTACCTTCCCAAAAGCAGCAATAAGTCACCACCTGTTCCTCCTTTAATCCTCGACCCCACCTCAGCTGGCCACCCCGCAGTGGCGACCCGATGGGTCAGGACAGCCTCGGACACTCAGGAATGTTGGCGCACACAGAGTTGCCTAACTTCTGGCTCACTTTAAAGTTGTAACAATGCTTGGCATGTCCTCGAGAATCCAGGTTCCGAAAGTGACAGCATTCAAAGCTCAAATCAATCAATCTTACTGCTCGTCAGCAAATCTCAGTTAAAAATGTTTGATGAGGGTAGAAGGTTGAAACTATTGTTGGGCCGCACCTTTTTATAGCCTTTTACAGCCCTAGCTCTGCAGGGTAATTAAGAGTCAGCTGCACACATCACTACCAGATGCCCATAGTTCCCTAAATTCGGAGGGAAATTTCCTCTATGAGCTGGGGAGAAGGCTGTGGGCGTCCTCCGTCCTCCACTTAACCTGGAGCCGGCCCTGCGGGTACCTGCGCTCAGTACAGCTTGTTTCAGGGTGGGACCCACGGAGGACAAAGCTTCCCGGCTGACCTGGCGCCAACGTGCACGTGAACTGTGTGCATCAGGAGATGCACGTTCCAGCTTGGGCACTGACAGCAACTGGTTATGTGCTCTTAGCTAAATCAGGTCACTTCTGTAGGCTGCAACTTCCTCATCTATAAGGAGATCAAGCCAGACTACTCAGAGCTAACACTGCAAAATTCCATGAAATTTAATCCAAGCTATCTTTACTGTGACACGTTATCATGAAATAGTCAAGACCCTGGGCTCTGGAGACAAGAGTGCTTTTGGTTTCAGTCTTGACACCACTCTTATGAGCTGTGTGACTTCAGAAAAATGACCTCGTCTTTCTGTGTCTCAGTTTCCTCTTCTGTCAAATAGAGATAGTCCTTCTTCAAAGAGTTGTGAGGAATAAATGAGACAAGGCACATAAAGTACTTAAAGAGTTCCTGGCACAGAGGATGATTTCAAAAAAAGGTTTGCTATTGTTGTCATTCTAATCTGGTTTAAAAATGTACCTGTATGTAAAAACGGAAAGGAAAACAAGCTCCACACAATGGTTATCTTTGCACGGTGGGGTTAAGGGGAGCCATTCTTCTTATTATGTTTCCGTATTTTCCAATTCAAAGAAGATAATGAACACAAATTACCATTTTGGCAGAAGAGATACTATTTTTAAAAAATGACTGCTAGCCCCTTTCAGTACGCTTGGAATTACCTGGTTATTCCTCGTGTAGGAGGAAGGCAGACCACCAGCATCCTAGTGAAAAGCCATTCCTAATATTTTCCTTCCAGCAGCAGAAACATTTCCCCTGTCACCTCAATGTTCTGGAACAAAGGCTACAGAAAAGCCTAAGCCCTGGACTAACGTCAAAAACGGACACTGAGTCATCTCTGCAACAATGCAAGCTTCCAGCCCAGCGTAAGTGAGCTCACCTTGCTCACCGGGAAGCCAGGCCCAGCTCAGTCACTGACAGTACAGGGCTGCTCGAACACTGTGCAGGCTTCCAAAGAGGGCTCTCTCCATGACGTTGCACATTTAACCCCTAAAAGCTCCCGAGGAAAATGAACGAAAGGGAAGGATAACCCGGGCAGAGGCACACCACGCAAAACCCCACCCAAGAGAACTGGGAAAGGGAAAGCGAAGAACAGGGGTGGATGCCTGGAGAGAACAGGGGTGGATGCCTGGAGAGAACAGGGGTGGATGCCT